TTTTTTTTTTTTTTTAAAGAGCTGAGTTAAAGTCTTTGAAGTCCACCGCCATCACTTTGGATGGTCTTAAAATAATTTCTCTAGTTTCTTTTGTCTTTGCTAGCTACAAAAATGGCCAGTTTTAATAAAAACTGCATGGAATAGTTGTTTTTCTAGCTAACGCCTTTATTAGTAGAGAAGTTTAACATTAGTTCCAGGTGTTTGAAGTTGAGCTTCGGAGCACGTGCAGCTGCAGCCAATATGGCGCCCGGCTTCCTCCTGAGGGCCGGAGCAACATGGCGGCCCTGGGGCCGTGGCTCTGCTCAAGGCCAAGCTAGCGGACTGCTGCGGGGTTAGGGCGGCTACTTAGCGTGGCTTGGGCGGCTACTTAGCGTGGCTTGGGCGGCTAATTAGCGAGGCTTGGGCGGCTACTTAGCGTGGCTTGGGCGGCTACTTAGCGTGGCTTGGGCGGCTAATTAGCGAGGCTAGGGCGGCTAATTAGCGAGGCTTGGGCGGCTAATTAGCGAGGCCTGGGCGGCTAATTAGCGGGAGGTCTGTGGCCTCGTCTCCAAGCCGACATTTTAAGCTCAGCATCACCGGGGCTGTCAGTAGCCGGTCCGGCCTGCGCATGCGCGAACTACTTCTCGGTAGGCAATACTTCGTATTTCTTTTTCTTTCTCGGGCTGATGTTTGCTTTTGAATATTTTAGTATTTGCGTAAATATAGCTTATTTAAAAAAAATGAAAAAAGAGCCTTTTTTAACCTTACCGTGATTTCTTTGAGAATGTCCGATGATGACGTCACGCAATTCAGCGGAGGGAAGGTAAAACGTATCCGTTTCTTCCAGAAAAGTCTTCAGTGTTTTCTATACCATAGAGTTTAGCATATTTCGATGTTTTAAGTGTATAAATAACTATTTTCAGTAGCGTTATTTTGAGGTTTTCGGCCACCCTGATCTTATTCTGTTTGCGCATGCGCAGGACGGATCGGGTAGTGACGGGGGCTGCTGTTTGATCCGCGGATTGATTTCAGTGATGTTTAAAGGACTACTTTACGGTTCAGAATATTCTACAACCAGGTTTAATAAGCTCCAGCTGGAGAGGAGGAGATGCTTAAATTTAAGCCAATGGTGCAATTAACCTTATCAGTTAAGCAAAAAAAAATAAAAAAAATTAAATACACTAAATAAACTTTTTGTCAAACCAGTTTTCTCTGGGCGGCCATGTTGAGCTGTGACCCTGGACCAGCAAACCTGTTTTTAATATCCTTAATGTTTTTATTTGATTTTTTAAAGCACCACAGGAAGATCTTCACAGGTGAGTTAATGACCCATTTATGACCCTCCTGTCCAATAGAAAGCAGTCATTCACACAGGCTCCCCTCATCTACAGAGACCCAGCGCCAAACAGGAAGTACATTTCAAAGTAAGAGCTCCTAAACACCACAGTTTGCTGCAGAATTATGGAGAGACTAAAAATAATTATTTGCTTAAGTTTGTTGTCTTTAAATGGAGGTTATTAAGAAATTATTAATTAATTAAATTATTTATACCCTGTCAGGATGCCTCCTCAAATATTCAATTAAAAAGAGGAATTTCAAAGTAAATTTTTTGCCCAAATTTCTTTCTTTTTTTTTTTTTTTTTTTTTTTCAGATTTTATAATAAAGTAGAATTTTGGATTTCAGTTTTTGAATCCAGAGGAAAATTTATAAAAATAAATTTTTTTGGGTGGTTAAATGTTTTAGTTAAATTCTAAACACGTTTTTATTTTTTCCAGCTTTCCCATAACATGGACGACTGGGAAGAAGCGGTAAGCCCCCCTTCCTCCTGCTGCCGAGTTCCCGCCCCCGCCATTTCTCACTGGTTCTCCCCTCTCTTCCAGGAAACGACCGTCGGCGTGTCAAGCTCCGCCCCTAGCAACGGTACGGTTTCCTAACATCCAGCTGCTGCTGAGCTAACGCCCCGCTAACCTTTTGAACGGCCCTTAGGTTCGTGGAACGGAGGTTCATTGAACGGCGAACACAGCGACTCCGGAAGAGGTCGTGGCGGGCGAGGAAGAGGCTTCAGGAACTCGTTCAGCTCAGGTGGGCGTTCTCCACTCCTGGTTGGCTGGAGTTGTTCGTTCGGCACGGCGTTGATGTTTTTTTACGGCTTCCTGTCTGAGCAGACGGATCCGGCTGGAGCCGTAAAGCCGACGGCGAGAGGGAAGGCTTCAAAGGAAGAGGCTTCGGCAGGAGCTTCTCCGATAATTCTCCTGGTGAAGACGTTTACTGATCTGTGATTGGTTGGTTTTTAATTGGGCTTTAATTGACGCTGTGTCTGATTGGTCCGCAGGAGACGCTGATGGATCCCAGGAAAACGGTAAGAAGGTTGTTGATCTGCCGCCGTAGCTCAGAAAGTTCTCTCCTCTGATTGGTGCGTCTCTCACAGGGTTCAGAGGGCGAGGAAGAGGAGGAAGAGGCGGCTTCAGACAAGGTACCAGAGGCTCCGCAGCTTTCTGTTATCACGTGTGTTGGTTAGGTGATTCATGATTGGACGATGTGTTCAAGATGGCGGACGAGGAAGAAGAGGAGGAGGACGAGGCGGCTTCGGTGGAGGTAGAGGATGAAGAGCAAGATTATTGATGGTGATGATGAAGGCAGAGCTGATGGGGTGCTTGTCATTGCAGGCTACCGCGGGGAAGACGATGAGGTCATCAGTCGAGGTAAGAATCTGGTTCTGATCCAGAAACGATCGAGGAAGCTTTCCACCTTTTAAAACTCTAAAGTTCTTTTAACTCCTAATTAAGTCAGAAATGGCTTTCCTTACCCAGAACTTTCTCTGTAAGTCCGATTGGCCAATGAAATGTGGCTCAAGTCCAGCCAGGGACCAATAGGAATGCTTCTTTGATGGAGAGGAAAGCCCCGCCCCCTGAAGTGCGGGAGGAGAAAACACCTGGGTTGATATTTTTAATATGTCCCAGCAATAATCGTTTCTGATCCGGTCTGGATCGGAACCGGTGTCTGGGTCGGAACCGGGGTCTGGGTCGGAACCGGTTTCTGATCCAGTCTGGGTCGGAACCGGTTTCTGATCCAGTCTGGGTCGGAACCGGTTTCTGATCCAGTCTGGGTCGGAACCGGGGTCTGGGTC